CCGGCCTTTTGCAAGCTGGAGAAATGTTGACTTCCAATTTGATTCCGTTCCTTGACCTACCAAGGGATCAAACACAGTTTGATCCTTCTGTAAATGACAATAGCCTGGATTGCACCAAGCCTGGGTTTAACCTGAGGGTTCCTGTAACAAGCCGAGTTCAAAGTAAGCCGCTATCAATGTCCTGGCTAGACAAGGCCTGGATAGGAGAGCACCAGGGGTTTCCTCCCTGCTGAAACAAATCACAGAATCGGTGGAGCTGGAGGGAACCTTAAAGGTCATCTAGTCCAGCGTGCCGCCAAGCACGGAAAAACTGCTTAGCCATCCAAGCCTGGTCTTCTGAGCAAGGGGTTGGGACTAGATGACCTCCAAAGTCCCTTCAACTCTGTTATTCTGTCTCTGACCAGGGGGGTTGGATTATAAGACCTGCAAGGTCCCATCCAACTCCGTTATTCTGTCTCTGAGCAGGGGGTGGGGACTAGATGACCTCCAAGGTCCCTCCGAACTCCGTTATTTTGTCTGTGAGCAGGGGGTTGGACTACATGACCTCCAAGGTCCCATCCAACTCCGTTATTCTGTCTTCTGAGCAGGGGGTTGGGACTAGATGACCTCCGAGGTCCCTCCCTAACCTCGTTATTCTGTCTTCTGAGCGGGGGGGTGGGACTAGATGACCTCCGAGCTCCCTTCCACCTCTGTTATTCTGAAATTAAGCCAGCCTTCTGCCCTCTTTTTTTTTTTTGCTGCTGTTTTATCCACACAAAGCACAACTTGCTTGCTTCCTTCTCCTCCTCCTCCTCCTCGTAGCTGGCTGCTAGCCGACCCACTGATTCATCCCCCCACCCCCACCCCCCAGGACCTACTAGGACACAACCTTGTGCCCTGCCTGAACACGCCCCGTGCCAGCTTCACCCTTGGACTGTGGCTGCTGGCATCCACTTTCCCTGTTAAAGGAACAGCTATTTCCTTCTTAGATTATCATCGCTCTTTGCCGTTGCGCAAGAGAGAAAGTTAAAAGCTTTTTTTAAAAAAATAAAATAATATATATATATATATATATTCTTTTTGCAGTGGCCTTGGGTTGGAAAGCTTCCCTTTGGGTAGGAAAGAGGGGTCGGCATCTCCCCCTCCCCGTTTTTGGCCTCCTGGATGGAACCCAACCCGGGGTCAGGCGAGGCCTTTATTATAGGAGGGGTTTTATGTCTATCTTGCAGGGGCAACGATGAGCAGTCCCCAAACCTCTGGCAATTCTATTTGAGATGTATTTCCTGCCTTCTGATCTTTTATCTCCCTTTCTCTCTGTTTCCTTCCTTCCTTCCTTCTTTGTCTATCTTTCTTTCCCTTTCTTCTTTCCTTGTGTATCTTTCTCTTTTCCTTCCTTCCTTCTTTCCTTCTGTGT